TCCATCGGCTAATCTGAACCTTTTGGCGTGATGAAGAATCCATTTGTAGGCATCGTTTTTACGGTCCTGAAGCGGATCTAGTAATTCCTTCCCACGAACCGGAACGCACCCAGGTATCTTCACTGGTTCCAGCAAATCACCATACTCGCACGACACCGTTTGATCGAGCCTGGGCAGATCATGAAACAGAGACAAGGCCATCGCCGTGGTGGGGAAAAAAATGGTAGGCGAAATATTGAACTCTCTTGCGAGATCAAACGCGTTGGTGCCGAAATGATCCACAACCAAGGTCACTATCAAGGTATTCTCCACCAGCGAATACAAGGCCTCGCGAAGAAATGGAAGGGAGCGTATAATGGTGAGGGAAATTAGCGTTTCGATTTTGGCATCATTGGGAACGTCGCTCAAGTTAACCGGAGGGAGAAAAACATAGTCAATCGAAGGAGGAAGAGAGTCAAAAATTGACTTCTGGGCTTTGGAGGGAGGCTCGTTTGTAGGGATGATGAACGTGACGGAGATGTTGTGGAGGCGAAAGAGTCGCTTCGCCAGCTCAACGAGGGGAATCAGAGGATCCATCCCGGGACTGGGTAGTATCGCCACATGGGTTTTCTTTGTTTCCGCCATGGGAGTAGACTAAATCAGGACTCAGATGACTATAGTTTGGCTGGGGTGGAAGAAAAACGAAGACGGAATGGTTCTTATATAGGGAAGCAAAAGGTGTTCAAGTGGGGTATATGTATCTATATCAAAATGAAAGGTGACTGTTCTTACTGTGGAGTTTATCAAAATATAAGGTATCGTTTTCAGGTGCGGTATATCGACCGCTAGGGGGGTGGAAGAAAAAGTATTGTTCTAGAAGGTGTTTTCATGTAGGGTATATGTATCTACAACAAAATGAAAGGTGATTGTTCTTACAATGGGTATATCAAAATGAAACGTATTTCGTTTTCAGGTGGGGTATATCTATGGTTGGTGTGGAAGAAAAAGTATTGTTCTAGAATGGTGTTTTCATGTAGGGTGTATGTATCTATAACAAAATGAAAGGTGGTTGTTCTTACAATGGGTATATCAAAATGAAAGGTATTTCGTTTTCAGGTGGGGTATATCTATGGTTGGGGTGGAAGAAAAACAATTGTTCACTAAAAGCCAAAAAAACTCCTCCATTGCCACGCTTAATGTCGAGGTTCGATGTATTGTATTAGGGTGTTGTCCAGCATAGGCAACACTTCATTTCGTTAGAAATTCTATGAAGTTTTAGCACTTTTTCAACATTTAATATACAAGAATTAATAATTTTGAATTACATGACTTAATCCTACAACATTCAAAAAGAATACGTTGTTTTGTTGTTTAATTTATAAATAAAGTTTAAGGAATTTTTAAGTAATTAATTTTTAAATTTCTAAATAACTATAATTTTGAAAGAATATATTTATTAATTTATTGTAAAACCTAAAAAAATTTCTAAAGATATTTCAATATTATTTAAAAGTCAATATTTGGATCTATGAAGCTCCAGCTATATGAATATCATGAAAGTCTATATGAATATTTGGAACCCAGAGGAAAGGATCTATCATGAATTTTTGGAACCCAATATTTGGATCTATGAAGGTCTACATAGATATTTGTAACTCATAATAAATTTATAATTTACAAAATAAATAAATATTTGAAAGTTAATTCACTTTTAACTATATATATGCCACACAGGAAATGTCATGTAACTCATTATATTTATTAATTTAAACTTTGAATTTTTTATTCAATGCTTTGTTATCAAGCATTTTCGTGGGTATAAGAATTAGTCCATAAGACTTACATTCTAACCTTCTTACTTTCAAGTCAGTCAAAAAATCTAATCAATTATTAAAGAATGTTTTAGTTTAGATTTATGTTAGGTTTTGTAAGTGTAAAACATTTCTTATTTGCTTGGATTATTGTAAAAGTGGTGAAAATTTGGTATTTATTACTCATATTTTACATTTATTGGTCAAAAAATAATTTAAAGTATTATAGAAATCAAAATAAGTAGTAATTATTTGTATTTTTATTAGAGATTGTGTAATTAACCTATCTCACATCGTCCAAAATAGTATATTAATTTATTAAAAATCTCATGGATAGGAATCCCAACTTATTGAATTATAATTTATATTAGGCTTAAGGATGTAAATGATTCCTTATTTAATTTACTTTTGATCCATTTATACAATTAATTTAAATCATAATAAATGTGATAAAATTTGAGTCTAAAAAAATGGAACAAATTAAACCGAAAAAAAATTGTATTTTTTAGCAGCACATTTTTCCAGTACTTTTTTGATATTGGAACAAAATATTTATATTATCAGCGCGTTGTGTGTTGAAATTAATACTTTTTAATACTTTGACCAGTGCTTAAATTATTATTTATGATGACTTCTTTTATAATAATATTTCAGTATTTCAGTAATTTAGAAAGTGCAGAAAATTTTATTTTTAGTACAAAAAAGTATTTAAAATATCATTTTTTGGTGTCGCAATTGGTTTTTCTTTTCTTTTCTTTTCTTTAGTGGTTCTTATATGGAGAAGCGATAAGGTGTGTTCAGGTGGGGTATATGTTTATATACCAAAATGGAAGGTGATTCTTCTTACAATGAGGTTTATCTAAATTAAAGGTGTTGGTTTTCAGGCGGGGTTTATGTATCTATTTTTTTTTTAACAATTGTTATGAGATTGGATTAAATCGTTACTCAAAAAAATAAAAGATAAGTGAACTTTTACAAAAATAACGGATGCCACTTGACCTATGATCAGATTCGGAATCTATGTATCTATACCAAAATGAAAGGTGATTGCTTTTACAGTGGGGATTATCAAAATAAAAGGAGTTCGCTTTCAGGTGGGGCATATGTGTCTGTACCAAAATGAAAGGTGATTGCTTCTAAAGTGGGGTTTATCAAAATAAAAGGTCACTACAAAACAGAAAAATTGTCTGATGCAACGCTCTTTATTGTAATGTCCACATTAAGCATATGTATCTATACCAAGATGAAAGGCGATTGTTTCTAAAGTGGGGTTTATCAAAAGAAAAGGTCACTACAAAACAAAAGAATTGTTTGATGCAACGCTCTTTATTGTAAGGTCCATATTAAAATTATATTAAAATAATATTTAAAACACCTTTTTCGTTACGACAATTTAGGCTCGAAAAAGAAACGCGTAGATTTTTTATTTAATGGGTGTGCGTTTTCAGGTGGGGTATGCCTACGGTTGGGGTGGAAGAAAAGAAGATCAAAATAAAAGGTGATTGTGCTTACAGTGGGGATTATCAAAATAAAAGGTGTTCGTTTTCAGGGGGGGTATATCAAAATAGCAGGTATCAAAAAAAAGAAAAAAATAGAAGGCATCAAAATGGCAATGAAAGTATCTTTGTTTCCTTATGCTGACACTGCAGACGTATGCTTATATGTGTTGTGTTGGCAATGAGATGGAAGTGGAATTCGTCGTTCCTAACATGTTGCCCATCAAAATGGCAATTAAAGTATTCTTGTCCTTAATGTTGACGCTGCTTGCTCATAAATGCACCAAAAAGCAAACTGCAAATTTGAAGAAAAGGCCCTCCACTCAATTCTTACTGCTTCAGAGCATGTTTGGCTTAGGTTTTAAAGGTTTTTATTTTTTTTATTTATAAATAATAAATTTAAATTTTTATTAAAAAAATTTAAAAATTACTTTTAGATATACTAAAAAGTGAGTAAAAAAGAAATTTATAAAAAACTTAAATTTAAAACTTTTAAATTTTTACTATTTGAGATTTTTTTAAAATTAAAAAAATACTTAAAAATATAAATTTTTTAAAAAAATTTTAAAATTCTAAAATATGAATAGTATCAAAAAATTAAAGCACTTGAAAATTGAACCGAACATATTCTTAATACGCCATCTCAGCTTCATGTACAATAACCTACCACTCTATTAATGCTGCTAGTGCAAGCAGCCACATGGGTTTTCTTTGTTTTCTCCATGGAAGCAGACAACAATCATTACTCAAATTGCTATATTTTGGACAGGGTGGAAAAGAAACGAAGTTGAAAGTTGTTCTTAGAGCAAAAGGTGTTAATTTGTTTAGAGGGGACATATTTAAATATGTATTTCTCATAAAAACTGTATCCCGAACCTTTGTGAATTTTTTTTTTTATTTTAACATCTGAACTTTCCTGAGTTGCTCTAGAAGAAAATTGATTAACAAAACTTCTAAAATTTCTCATAATAGGATGATTTATCTAGTGTTTAAGTGTATGATTCATTTACACTTTCATTAGATTAAAATTTTATGCCATTTAAAAATTGGTAGATGAGGGTGTCACATTCAATAAAAATTTATGTGTATGCCCCACCACAGGCAAAAAGCCTACTCTAGCCGACATTCTATTTGACGGGGGAGATACATGTTTACCTAATACTTTTTTTTTTTTTCTTATGATTCTAAATCTTGAGAGAATCCATCTTTTCGTACTTGTTACGTCAACATGCACAGAAATGGTATCCTAGTCACTTATCTGAGAGGGGGAGACACGTGGTTATAATTATGGTTACTATTAAATTTTATTATTATTAAAAAATTTAGTAAAAAGTGTGTAAAATGAGTTTTACACTCGAAAAAAAAAAAGAGGAAAAAAACTCTTCTTAAAGAAAGTCTAAATAAATTAGTACTAATAACTTTATCTTATTTTTTTAATTATAATCTTACTACATTATAAAGGTTTAATGTCACTGAAAGTCTCTTAATTTTGTAAAATGAGTCATTACCATCCCTCTATTTTAATAAAATTCATAAATATTCCTTAACTCTAGAAAATGAGCAATCATTATCCCTCCATTAATGGACTTCGTAACCCAATTCATTCTTTTGTTAAAATTTTTCAAAATTTATGAATAAATATGAATAAATCTTAATTATTGAAAGTAAATAAATAAATAATTAAAATTTTATATAAATATAATATGTAAGATTTATGTGTATGTAAATTTTTACTCATATAAATATATATAATTTATATATTAACAAAAAAATATAATAAGGTTAGATTTTATGGTAATAGAAATACATGCAGAATGATTTGAAAAATTAAAATCCAAGATGTGGCATGATTATGTGCATCAAAATAAGTGTTAAGGTGACAAATGTATTCTTTAATCTATATATTATATAAATTACTACCCTCAAGAATTAAATAGGAATTAAAATTTGTCAATTTTATTTTAATTATACAATAAATTTTGTTAAAAAAATAAAAAAATTAGTTTTACATTAAAATATAATAAATGTATTTATTATTTTAACTTTTCATTTTCTTCCTTTCCCTAACTTATCTTTCTCTTCTCAATTATTTTATTATTATTAAGATTAAGATAAGTAAACCCCTAGTTTTATAGAGGGTAAAAATAAAGGATTACAATAGATATTAATTATTAAATGTATCTTAAAAACTAAATACAGTTATAAGGAGATAACCCTTTATCTTCTACATTAATTTATAATTAATAATTGTTTATTATGTGATTTTAATCACATAATAATTTTATATTTTAAAATGTGTTAAATGTATTATAAATAATATTATGGAGATGTTATAAATTTTGCAACCTCTTTTCCTTCATATACATTCTTATTTTGATCTCCTTAATTATAGCATCATAATTATTCCCATTTGATAAACGTTTTAGTAGAAAGAGGATTAATTTTATTGTGTGGTATTAAGTTTATCATCTTGATCTCATCGATCAAAAAGATGTTAGCATTTTGGTTTTTACTCATCTTCCAATGTCATTGTTAAATTAATTCTAGCAATAACTAGATTGTTGTTAGAAGTACGTAAATGGTCTCATCAGAGTTTTCATTTCCCTTTTTCTCTTCTTTTTTTTTTTGCCTCTCCCATCCAAGCAACTAATAAAATTCAGTAATTAAGGTTGTTCTATTTCCTTTTTTTTTTAACTTTTATTTTATTTTCTTATGTTAATGTTCTCTTTGTAAGGACTTTGTTGTATCCGCTTTGATTATTTGTTGCTCTCGCATGAGGTGATTTGTTTATTCTGCATCTTTTTCTTACCATCAATGGTAACATTGGTTTAATTTCCTTAGTAGCATATTATTCTTTTGGTGAAAACAAAATTGATTAAACGATTTGGTAGTAGTTTTGATATTTTTGGTGGTTTTTAACGGTAGGTTTTCAAATTTAGTTTGAAATCTAATGTTGATTTTGGTTTGATGGAAAGGTATTATCTAGAAAAGTGATAATTAAGAGGTTCTCAAAGATTTTTTGCATATACTAAATTAGGTAAATTTATATTGCCTATGCTAAATTTCTTGATTAATTTTTTTTTTCCTTTTTTTTTCTTCTACCCGACCAATTTATGAAATTCAGCGACAGTAGTGTTCTATTTTTTTTATTCTTTTATTTTATTTTTTTTACCTCAGCACTTCATTCTCTGATCATGTTTTTTTAGTGTACATATACTACCATAAGAAAGGGCAATTTCTATTTTTTTTAGTATTTTAGAACACAATAAATTAATACTAACTAGTGTTTTCATGTGTTCCATCACAAGATATTTATTTATTTTGGTTATAAGACTTGTAATTTTGTAGTTATGAAACTATCCATAAGAGAAAAAAGGTTAAATTAATTATTAAATGGGCCAGAAATGTGAATCCTATAGGTCAAAGGGAACTATTGTAGTTCTTAGCATCTATTCTATATCTCTATTTACCCCCCAAAAAAAAAAAAAAAAATCTACTTACCATCAATGAGTCAGTGCTGTGAGGAATTAGAAGATGAAGAGGAGTCCAGCAGAATTCATTCATGGAATCTTTGAAACCTTTGCCATCTCCTTTCAAAAGGGATGCAATCGTTACAGAAGCCGTGTAGATCAATTTTTTCACTGTTCCTGATCTAATTAAAGACTCCACAATGCACTTCACTCCAGCAACTGCAACCTCGAATGTATCTTTAAACTGTTTCAAACAGAAATCTGACCAAAGCTATCTTCTATCCCTTACTTCTTAGTGTTTTAGCAATTTTAACAAAAAAACAAATGGTCTAAATCTGATGCAAGAACCTAGGATCGATTACCTGGGAATTGAGGGATTGATGCTGCTAAGCGTTGGCCATGTGGACGACTACAAATTCGCAGCCTTTAATGGCATGTTTGAACTCATTGGGATTGTATATATGTCAGCTGCATACACTTTAATATGGTGTCTGCATTGGAGAGACTCCTAAGAAGCCCTACCTTATATTGATCGCCTGCATCGTAGAAGAATCTTGAGAAGACTTTAACATAATTAAAGAGATTGTGAAAAATTGAATAGAAAACAAACCCAGATTTCGAGTTGTTGCATGGAAAATAGATCCAATATGTAGCAGCTTTTTTGACAAGAGCCAAGGTAGGTAGCCGCACCTGTCACACACAGACCTTAATAGTGTTCTCCATTGTGGTGGAGCAGGAAATCTGAATAGTCTTTACTGAAAAATGCCTACCTCTTAGTTTGTTACTTATAAGTGAATTCTGTTTTTCCCTTCTAAGGCCTAAAAGGCTAAAGCATTCATGGGTTTTGCCATTTTTGGCAGAGACTTGACAACATGCCCTTGCTTCATTGCTGCCGCACATTAACATGCTCCATGAGGCCCACGCCCTTGCCTTGATCATGGGCGATTGTGCATGTCGTGTGTTGGGAGGTTACTTCCTTTGTCCACAATAACCATAAAACTCGGCCAATAATTAAGAGAAGAATTTAAGCATGCCCCTTGCTTCCTTTTTTGAAGTATTGTTTATTTTTGGTCGGCTTTTTAAATTTATTGTTGGCATTAATTAGAGTGTTAATTAGGGGTTATAATCATGTCATGTTTTAGGGAGAATATCGAAACGAACTTAGCCCCTAATAAGGAAAGAATCTTGAGAGCCAGCTAAGATGGGAAAAAAAAGGTTAAATAATAAGTTATATGTAAGTAACCGGCTAAAAAATCAAATACAAGATATACACAAGTAGAACAGATCAAACTGTATTGAATATGGAAGAAGAATTTAAGCATCGATTCCAGTCAACCTCATATTGGTGAAACAAAAAAAATAGTCTCAGGACATGAGTATATGATCAAACATAGTTTGGTGTGCACAAATTGAACCGAAAATCTGCCTTCTAAACTTCGAAAAAGAAAAATCTAAAGCTGAAAAAAGATAAAATTACTTTTGGAGATAGCCAGTCCTCCTCGCACACCTCACACAATCATCTAATATCATCTTTGTATCACATCTGTATTCGAATCCTTTCTCCATGAGTCTGGTGGATCCCCACTGGACCTCCCTCTTTGTTCCTTCTAAGTACCTGAAAACCAGTTTCATTTCATTAGAAAATCTGTTTGAATTTCTACCTTGGAGAATATATAGTTAGCTACTCACTCTTGTTTTATAGGGAATTCTGGGTGATTTTCTTGGTAGTACTCTGCGATTTCCACAGATGAAACGAAGGAGCTAGCACATAAGAATCTGCCATTGATTGAAGCTTGGTTCAAGCAGAAAATAAAGGCATCACAGACATCATTGACATGCACAATTGGGATTTTCCCCCCCAACTCTTCTAAATATTTTAGAGCCTTGTATCCATGAGGACCATAAACCTTGTCTACAAGATGTGAAATAAACAAGGCCACACTTCCTGGTGTATAAGATAGGAGGGTGTTATCTCCTCCCACCAACCCAATTCCAAGAGTAACCACCTCTAATCCTCTGCCTTCCTCAATACTACTTCCATAGCTCAGTATTTCTTTCTCTGACAGTGTCTTGGAATCTCTGTAAGCCTAAAATTTAGTTGAATTTCTAGTTCCTATAAAATGCATAAACTGTTCACTGAAGGCTGAAAAATGGCTTTAAGAGCTTACTGCGAGATGATCGTCAGAGAAATTGGCTGAAAGACTTAGAGGAGTCCAGCAAGTTTCATCCATGGAATCTTTGTAACCACTTCCATCATCTTTCAATGGTGAAGCAGAAACAATAGAAGCAGCGTAGATCAATCGTCTCACACCTGATCTAACACATGACATTGCTATGGTCTTTGCTGTGGCAACTGCAGCCTCAGTAGTATTCTTGAACTTCACGGCAGGAACATAAAAAATGAGGAAAGTTGATTAGATTGCAAATTTCTTCAATTCTAATGATGAGACGAGGGACAAACCTGGTAGCCTTCGGTGTGCTGCAAGGGAGAAGCAAGGTGGAAGACATATTGACAGCCATTGATGGCATGCTGAAACTCAGTTGGATTATATATATTAGCTTGAAACAACAGTAATCTTGAATTTGCATTCGGAAGGCTCTTCAAGATATCAACCTTCGATGCATCACCTACATTAAAATTTCATGAAACATATGGCAAACACAATACCTTCAAGAAAAGAACAGAGAGAGTAGAGACTCATTTACCCAAGTTCCTCAATGTTGCATGGACGGTGTATCCTTCATCTAAAAGCTTCCTGATCAGCTCAGAGGCGATGTAACCAGCACCTCCTGTAACACATACCCTGCACTCATTTTTCTCCATTGCAAGTGCCTAAATGCAGAAAATTCTTTTTAGAGCCCCGTTGCACCAAAGGCCCTGTTTATAAAGCAGCAGAGGAGAGCAGACATACTTGAAACCTGTGCATAAGCTAAAATTTTATACACCACAAGTGCAAATTAAAATGCATTAACTATGATTTCAAGGTACTATACTATTATTTAAATGGGTAGCTTCCCTAGGACATAATGGCGTGTGGTCTGAAGTCATATTTTGGCCATAAACAATGCAAAAAGAAGGTGCAAACTCACCGCCCTCGATCTACAAAACCCTTGATCAACCCCACCTAAGATACCACCTACAATAATTAAAAGGGGGAGGAGGGGTTTGAGGTATGGGTAATTTTTTAAATTATTTTTATATAGTTTTTATATATTATTAAATAAATTAATGTATTTAATATTATAAATCTCAAATAAATAAAAAAATTAATTATTTAAATAATACAT